TCGTGGGATATTGTCCAAGGGAACTGATTATTTTGAGTCTCTTATATCAAAACGAATTAGCTATGGCCTCACAGAATACTTCTTTTCAGCCAGGAGGTGAGAGTCCGTGGTCTATAGCACTAAGTGACCCCATAAGCCCTTGGCTATTTCCCCGTTTAATTTTCTCTCTTGCCTCGATGGTATGGGCTTGGTCTCAAGAACAGAAGAAAAGAGAACAAGGTACCTCATTGGCCTTTGGGACAATTTGTAGGTCTCTTAAGACCTCCAGAGACACATGCATTCATCTCAGAACTCACCGTATCCTTAAAATAATGAAAATGAGAAAACCAAGCCTATAACCTGGAGGGGCAGAGGCAGGAGAATCAGGAGTTCAAGGTCATCTTCTGCTACATGGAAAGTTCAAAGTCAGCTAGGTTATTTGAGACCCTGTCTCATCAACAAAGACAAGAACTTTTAAGATTTCAGAGAGTTTTTAAGGTAGATTATTGATAAAGCAGTTCTTTTTCATTTTACCCACAGGAGATACATTCCACTACAAGATCCCAGAGGGTGCCTGGAACCCCAAAAAGTACAAACCCATACATACTGCCACTTTTGGCTTTTCTTTCTTTTCTTTTCTTCTTTTTTCTTTTTTAGTTTGTTTTGTTTTGGGGTGTTGTTGTCGTTGTTGTTGTTGTCATTGTTGTTGTTGTCATTGTTGTTGTCATTGTTGTTGTTGTTGTCGTTGTTGTTGTTGTTTTGACTCAGGGGTTTCTTTGTGCAACAGCTCTCTCCGTCCTGGACCCACTTTGTAGACCAAGCTGGTCTCGAACTCACACTACCTGCCTCTGCCTCCTGAGTGCTGGAATTAAAAGCATGAGCCACCACCGCCTGGGTGGCATTTGCTCTTTTATAAACATAGAGGCTTGTACAGCATCTTATCATCTCAGAATGAATTAAAGGATAAAAGTTAGTTTCTTATTCCAGGTGATATATTAGAGGAAAAAAAACCTCTTAAATTATATGCCCAATAAATCATCATAATTAATAGTATAAGGAATAGGCATGAAATCAATTGTGATTTTTTGTTTTCACTAGTCAAATTCCAAACCATAGGTGTGTAAGGAATCTTCAAAGAATTTTCTTCTAGGATTTTTCCACTTCTTGTTTTCGGAGCATGATTGACAGCTGGTAACTGCAAACAAGGAAAGCTGAAGGTTGGGAAAGGAGAGACTGGATTTACCACACTGGAAATCAACGCTGACAAAACCTCAAGAATCTATTTACTTAAAAGTGACAATAGGAGCTGGAGAGATGACTCTGTGGTTAGGAGCCCTCGCTGCTCTTCCAGCAGACCCGAATTCAGTTCGCAGCACCCGTAGCTCACAACTTTCTGTAGCTGGGGGTCCATGGGATCTAGCGCCCTCTTTTGGCCACCATGGACATTCACACACATGGCAGGCATTCACACAGACAAAAATAAAATAACTTTATGAAAAATGGCATTCTAAAGCAAAAATACAGCATATAGAGTGATATTATTTGTAGCTGACATGTCGTTTTACTCTGCAGCTTAACAGGAAGTAGCTGGGTCCCCACAGTTCCTCGGTGTACACCCTCTGTCTGTCATGTCTTGTTTCAGTAGATGCGGATGAAGAAAACTCAGCTCCTCCGTGAATAAATAGTTTCTTAAAATAAGTATGCTTTAAAAAAAATGTTCTGTCCAGGCTCAACATGTAGCAATTCTTTTAAAATGTTAATTTCAGCACAGAATCTGCAAACCTACCAGTAGAGTTTTAAAAGCCCTGCTACCTACCGGAAATCCACTGATCTGTTTTGGCTTAGAGAGGAGCCTAGCCATGCATGACTTCATAACCCTTGGAAAACACTGGCTCGTCAAGCTACATAAGCTTTCCAAATTTTAATATATTTTACTAAATGTCCCATTAACTTTTCCTAGGGAGATGTGAATAAATGTCCATTCACCACAGACAGGGTCCCAATGACTGAACAAACAAACAATTCCATCCAAGCCTAGCTTGGCAGACCAATGGGCTTACTAGGGGTTATTTATAGGATTATAGGAGACGAGGGCCGACAGCAGTGTCTCTCAACCTGTGGGTCGCAATCAAGTTGAGGTTGCATATCGAACATTTATTTTGCAATTTATAATAGTCACAAAATTAGTTATGAAGCAGCAGTGAAAATAATTTTATGGTGGGGGTCACCGCAACATGAGGAACTGTATTAAAGGGTTTCAGCATTAGGGAGGTTGAGAACCACTGTCCTACAGCATAGGTGGCTACACACTAAAGAAATGTCTTTTTCTCTCAGCAATTGTCAATTGCTATACACCCTCCAGGAGGTGTGACTCCCTGTGTCTCATGTCACCTCATGTGGAGTCAATGAGCTGCTCATATATTCCTCATGGTCCTTTTTCTTAGTGGGCCCAATCATGTGACGATCTCGTCTTAGCAGTCATCGATACTCTGGTTCCAAGGTTGCAATGTCTGCATCATGTCTAGAGGATGGCATGTCACACTGTGTGGTCTTTCAAAGACCGTGTCTAGAGAATGGCATGCTACATTGCATGGTCTTTCAAAGACCACCCTTATTAATGTCACCAGGAATCACCATCATGCCCATCAGGATGGTCCAGCCCACTCTGGTGGGCTAAGTTTTTTTATACTTTTAATGAGACGTATGTGTGCGTGCATGTGTGTGTGCACGTGTGTGTGTGTGTGAAGTACCTAGCGAGGTCACAGGAGGGTATTGGGCCCCTGCAGCCATTGTGAGTTAGCCACTCAACATAGGCGTTTGAAATCAAACTCTACAGTGACAGCCGAGCTGTTGTTTTTCAAGCCCCGAGTTTTCTACACTTCTAATATTCCTCCAAGTTCAAATTTCCTCTTTGTCTCCTCATACCATCTGAGTGGTAGTATATAGTGAGGTGACGAGCTCACTCTTCTTCTGTGAGAAGTTGTCAGTGGAATATCTAGGTCTCAATAGCTAAAGTCTCCTCCATCCTTAAAGGGTGTTCCATCCATAAAAAACCAAACAGCACTTCCATTTGACACAAAACTCAACTGTCAAGAATATTCCTCATGAAAACAAGCACTCTTCAGGGTTCAACAGAAGCGTTTGACATAGTAGTTTGGCCATGTGGTTCCATCATGGTCACATCACACAGAGTCAGTTCTGTCCTTATACAGTGGGATTGAACTTTGGTCCTCGGACTTGGTTGCAAGCACCTTTACCCAGTGAGCCAACTCGCCAGTCCCAGGCATGCTTTTCTATCATAGGAATTTTTTTTTTTCTGCTTAGAAGTATCCTGGGCTGTAGCAGCTTTTCTCTTTGAGTATGGGGAACAGGGCAAGGAAATAATACGATTTGTTAAGGAAGAGGAGAAAGACGAGGGAGCTTTGTAGTTCTTCCAGCCTCCTATCCCATCTCTGTGCTACCCATGTGAGGTGTAGGCAAGGCATGAACATTCATCCTGAGTGGAATATTCTGGAGGTGGGGCTAGCTGGAGACTGCAAAACTCCCAGGACACCACAGAGATCAGAAAGCAGCAAGAGAGATGTCCAGGTTCTTCAATCCAGTCTTCAGAAATGCCTCTTTTGTGATGATTTGTGCTCTGAAAAACTAAGCTGGGATACCAGGTCTATTCTAAGTGGCCACACTGGCCTTTCCAGCCATTTCTTTGCTGTGTCCCCTACTTCAGTGCCAACCTCCAGTTCACCTTGGCTTCCGGCGAAGGTCTGACTTGGAATTTGCCTTCTGTCTCTCTGGTCTGCTCAGCTTCTTGGTTTGAACAATTTCCTTGTTAAACATAGGCTCATTGTCCCGAGTGGACCTACAGCAGTAGGTGTAGGAGAAGGAACAGGCTGGCCTCTGAAAGGCCCATTTAACGCCATCTGGTTAAAATCACAGGCCTGAATGAACTCAAGGAAGACCTGGTGGCTCAAATCCTCCCTCTTCAAATATTTTCCCATTTATCCCCCCAGTATCATAAAATTCACAGAGAAGAGAAATAAAGGGGATTATTAGCCTGGATGTAACTTCTATTATGCAAGGTCGTCCCAATTATTTTTAGACAAGAAGCTCTTGTTTTGTGACGGTCCTTCCGGGACCTCGGCAGAGGGTAGCAAGGACTGATAACGTTAGGTAGGAAAAGGCTGAGGCTGTGCATTGTGATCCATTTCCTTTGGCTCTGGACAACCAAAGAAGGAAGCATCCAGCAAGCTCGCTCAGGAACTCCCAGCATGCACTTGCGCTGCTTATCTAAGTAGCTGCTCCTGCAGAAGAGGAAGTCCCGCAGCTAATCCAGAACACAAAGCTAAGTGCTTAGGATGCTCAAAGGGACTCACCAAACTCAATGACAAGGTAGGGACAGCACCGTGAGTCACTTGAGGGTCACATGCCTAGGTCAGCCTTATTTAAAATGGGGCAGTGAGGAGGATAGGAGGTGAAAAATAGAGAGGATTTCATTGTTTTGCTTTGTTTCTTTGAGGCCTCCCAAGCTGCCCTTGAACTTGTAATCCCTTTGCTTCTGTGTTCAAGTGCTAGTACTATATATAGGTGTGTGCCATCATGCCTAAGAATTTAATTTTTAGCTTCTGGAGCTTTAAAAATTGTCACACCAGGGACCTACAAGGTGGTTTGTGGGGAAAGGTTCCTGCCACCAAGCCTGCCAGCAGAAGTTCATTTCCTACAACCTACACTGTGAAAGGAGAGAACCAGCTCCGACAAGTTGTCTTCTGACCTCCACACAGGGGCAGTACGTGTGCACATGCATGCACACACAGAGACATGCATGAAGGCACACACACAGAGACTTATGCACACACAGACATACACACACACCATAAATAAATGTAAAAAAGCCAGGCATAGTGATATATACCCTTATTCCCACCATTTTGGAGGCAGAGACAGAAGGATCTTTAAGAGTTTGAGACCAGTCTGGTCTACATAGCCCGTTCCAGGATAGCCAGGACTGCATAGAAAGGCCCTGTCTCAAAAAGTACCAAACACATAAAGTGAAAAAAAAACAAACAGAAAATTTTTAAAAATTATTTCTCCCAAAACTGAATATGTCAGGTGAACCATTTAAATGTTCTGAGATCTGTGGCTATGAGAAGAACATTGGTTTGAATTACAGTCTGGTAAGTAACCACCAACTCAGCCAAAGAACTTGGCTTGCATAGAATTTTTATATTTAGGAATATCTCTAAATTCTTTTAATGTAGGCCACACTTCTGGTAGCAGGACATGGAAGCAGGAAGCTTTTGCTCTTTGCTTGTTTGCCCTCACTCTACCATGGCAAAGACATTCTCCCACTGGTATCAGAGACTACTTCTTGGGGGACATTGACAGAAGGCTAGCTAAGACATAGCATTAGTCATGGCATCAGTAAATGTTCCTGGAGCAGACAGGCCATGTCCCTTGTATCCTTCCCTCGTTTCTGCACACACTCCTGAATCCTCACCAAGTCAGCGTGCGGGACACTGATTGCCTTTGTGTGGTTTCATTCGAAGTTTTCAAGCAGACATAACTAATTTAGAGATCCTTAACTTAACCTAGTGATGGTTCCTTAGCTCCAAGTCCATCATCACCAGTGATGGGTGTTTTATTCAAACAGTTCCATAAGCAGAAAGCTGGCGAACACTGTGTTCAGTTCTTACAGACAAGTTCACATCTACTTTTTCATTCCATGTGAAGATTTCATAGAAAACGAAGCCACGGTTTTGAGTTGTTTTTTCTTTTTCTTGTAGGTTTTTGTGTGCTTCTTTTCTTTCCTAAACTTGCAACTGACTGCGTCAAATAACTAAGGTGTGAATCTGGCGATTTCAGTCTCCATGTTCCAGCTTCTTAGATCTGCCTCTGTAAGTGGAGATTTGAAATGAGTGTATAGTCGAGGCTTGAAGCTTTCGACTTTTAGACAATGGAACCGGGCTTATGGTGAGATTCCGCAACTAGGCAGGATGAGCAGGCTCACGAGGTGCCGCGTCGGATGCTGCAGCTCATAACCTCCTCTTCCGGGACTGCAGAAAGGACATCACATCCCAGGGTGGCTCAGTGTGCAGCAGGAGGATAGAGTGTCCTATTGCTCGTTTTGATGACTAGTGAGCCTTCTGGTACTGATGCAGAAGAGAGCTGAACTAAAACCAAGTCAAGAAAATCACCGGGTTAGGTAGGGGCTGCTGAAAGGAGATGCTAACCCTCTGCTATGAAGTGTCCCTACCTAGAAAAGATCAGCGAGGTGCAGTTTTTTTTTGCTCCCCCCTTTTTGGGTGTCATCTGTTGGGAGTAGAGTTCTGAAGTGTTACTTTGTATTCTTTTGATATCATAGATTTTACTACCAGGTGATAATAATAAATGCAGTGAAATTGCTTTGGTCAAAAGCTAATGTCCTTGTATGAAAGGTGAGGCCAAACCGTATGTTTCTACCAACTTGGAGGGTGGGTTAAGTCTCCATGGCTTGTTTCCTATAAGGTTTTAGAGGAAGTACAGATGCACTTCTGAGACTTTGGAGCTTAAGTCTGCTGTGCTGGATTAGCTGGTAAAAGATGCCGCCCAACCTGGAGGATCTCGAGAAGGTACACTGCTTATCTCTAATAGCTTCAGAGTCACTCTTTCTACCAAGAGAACAAAAACTGCCTAAGTAAAAACACCACACACTTCCTGAGTGAGATCAGTCAATGTTCTCCTTCCCTAAGAGGCAAACAAAACTGGGGCCAGGGGGTAGAATGGAGCTGGGGAGAGGAAGGTGTTTGGAGATGGTAATATGTAATCTAAGAGCCCCATGGATAAGAAGTGCTTATCTCTGTGGCACTCAATTTATACACTTAGTGTCAGATAACCCAGAGCAGTGAGGACAATTAAGGTGGAGGAGTCATCGTGACCCCAGGCACACCTGGTCTGGTCACACGGTGTCTTTGCAAAGACAGCAGAAAGCAAGAAGAGGGTCCTAGGCAGACCAGGAGTCCAGGACTGGGCTGTAACGTTTGCAGTGAGTACTGCAAGAGGAGAAGTCAGGTCAGGGTCCTGGTGGGAAAGTTTAATAAATGGGTTATTTACAGTAGTGTGAGCGGAGTGTAGGAAAACCTCAACGGCACTGATTTTTTGATGGCAGCAGCAGTGTAGAGCTATTTCTATAGGTAGCATTAAAGATCAGAGGAAAGAGAAAGAAGGGGTGGCAGTAAGGGGGAGAGAGGAAGAGGTGGGGGGGAGACAAAGGGATGGCAATCTCTTGGGATCTGGGGCTTTCCGGAGGGTGAGACAGCCAACCTGAGAGGACCCATTAAGAGGAAGTTATTAGTTTACCAACTTTACCCACCTCCAGCCTTCAAAACCTTGTTTGAAACATTCACAGACCAAACCTTCCTGGAAACCAGGGAGACTATTGATGAGGCCTATAAATCGTTGATGTGCCAAGACAGAGAGACAGGTGGGAAAGGGGAAAATGGATGGAGAAGAACAAACAGGAAACCTATAACATAAGGTGATTTTCCAAACAGGTGTATGTACTCACTGGGAATGATTAGCATACAGGTGAGAGGTAAAACTGTAGAAACAAATGAAGTCACAGGAGAGAAGATTCAAGAGAAGTCACTGAGCTACAAAGAACACTAAGAGCTGGGGAAGAGGCTGTCACGTGACAAGGGAGACCGAAAAGTGAAAGCTAAAGACCTGAGAGAAACAGGATCCTATGGTGTCATTGGGCAGAATCAGGAGACCATTTCTAAGCAAGACAGCTATACAACATGGTGGTCGTCCAAAAATTTAATCCGGGTAGGGGTGGCACACACCTTTAATCCCAGCATTTGGGAGGCAGAGGTTGGCAGAATTCTGAGTCCTAGGTCAAGACTGACCTATAGAACGAGTTCCGGGACAGCCAGTGAAACACAGAGAGACTCTGTCTTGGGAAAAAAAAAAGAATTCAAAATTAAAATTGCTATATAGCTGAGCAAGGAACCGAAGACAAGGTCTTCAAGAGATGTGAGAATACTCCTGGCCACATAGGCGATATTCGTCATTGCAAAAATGAAGAAGCAGCTACCTAATGCCCATCAATGGATGGTGGCTAAACATGATAAATTCATAAAATTTAATATACACACAATCTCATTCGCACACACACATTAGAATACTACTCATCCTTAAAAAGGAGGGAGACTGTGAACTTCGTTACACCTTCAGTGAAACATGAGATGGATTAAGTGAAATACAACAGCCAAATAGGTAAGAACTATGTGATTTCCCTCATCTGACATTCCTAACATGATGCCCTTACATGAGCCAATGAACAATGGTGGTAGTCAGGGGCTGGAGGAGAAGTGAAAAGGAACTTGGTGGGTCAGGAAGCTCTGTGCTGTAAGAAGAAAAGAATCCTGGGGACTGGCTGCATGAGAGGTGGTGACTATACTTAGTACCACTGAACCACACACCAAGTGTCTTAGTCTTTGTTCTATTGCTGCGAAGAGACACCAGGACCATGGCAACTTACAGAAGAAAGCATTTAATTGGGGGCTTGCTTACTGTTTCAGAGGGTGAGTTCCTGATCATCATGGTGGAGGGCACGGCAACAAACAGGCAGGCAGGCATGAGCAGTCGCTGAGAGCATCCATTAGATCTGCTAGCTGCAGGCAGAGAGAGCGAGACTGGGCCTGATTTGGACTTATGAAACCTCAAAGCACAACCCCCCCCATGATACATCTCTTCCAATAAGGTCACGCCCACTCCAACAAGGCTATACCTCCTAATCCTTCCAAAACTGTTCCACCAACTGGGAACTCAACATTCAAATGTATGAGCCTATTGGGGTCATTCTCATTCAAGCTGCTACACTAAGGATGGGTCATGGCAGTCAGTCTTACCAAGTGTGGGGGTGCAGAGCTGTCATCCCGGCTCTCAGAAGGGTGGCACAGATGTTTTGTGAGTTCGAGATCATGCTGAGCTTCACAGCAAGAGCCTGTCTCAGCAATTCCAAACAGAAGAAGTAATAGCTACATAAAAAGGTGAATTGTAGGGACTGCAGAGATGACTCAGGAGTTAGATCACTGCTGCTCTTCTAGAGGACCCAGGTTTGATTCCCAGCTACCCACATGGCAGCTCATAACTTGTCTGTAACTCCAGTTGCAGGGGATCTGACAGCCCTCACACAGACATATGCAGGCCAAACAGCAATGCACATAAAAATAAATAAATCGGGACTGGAGAGATGACTCAGCGGTTAAGAGCATTGCCTGCTCTTCCAAAGGTCCTGAATTCAATTCCCAGCAACCACATGGTGGCTTACAAGCATCTGTAATGAGATCTGGTGCCCTCTTCTGGCCTGCTGGCATACACACAGACAGAATGTTGTATACATAATAGATAAATATTTTTAAAAAAACAAAACAAAAATTCAAATAAGCATTATTTTAAAAAATGATAAATAAATGAATAAATAAATAAATCGCCGGGCGGTGCTGTCACACGCCTTTAATCCCAGCACTCGGGAGGCAGAGGAAGGCAGATCTCTGTGAGGTCGAGACCAGCCTGGTCTTCAAGAGCTAATTCCAGGACTGGCTCCAAAGCAACACAGAGAAATCTTGTCTTGATAAACCAATATATATATATATATTGTTTTTTAAAAAGATAAGATTTATGTAAAGTATTTTATCACAATTAAATACAAAATTGTATGTCTTTCTATTACTTTTTATAATAACAATGAATGACATCATTTTATATCAATGAATATATTTCTGTGTTAATACTTTGATAACTATATAATGTTGTGTTTCATTATTGCTTAATTTATTTGACTCAGTTGCCACTTTTCTTGAAATTGTATGCTTCTTACAGATCTACCAACATGAACAATTGAAATGACCATAGCCCTTAGCTAGATCTTTGCCAATTGCACAATTATGTCCTTGGAATAAATCACTAGCCTGGAATTTCTGGGTCAAGGGGAACTGCGTCAGGAATGAAGTAGAGCGAGAAATGAAATTGCAAAACTCAAACCTGAGCATCAAGCAGCAGACGCTAGAGAACCTGAGCTGATATATTACAAGTGCTTTATAAAATGTTTCTGGCTGGTGAAGGGAAATGGTATTTATTTCTTGGCACATGTGTTGTATTAATGGCAATTAGAACCTGCTAGGCAGAGAAACGCCATTGCCCATACTATGCTCATGATCATAGACAGCCAGTTAAACAAGTATCTTGGTTAGGGCTTCTATTGCTGTCAAGAGACACCATGACCAAGGCAACTCTTAAAAAGAAACCATTTAATTAGGGTGACTTACAGTTCAGAGGTTCAGCCCATTGTCATCACGACAGGGAACGTGGCAGCAGGCAGGCAGACATGGTGCTGGAGAAGTAGCTGAGAGTCCTACATCTTGTAGGCAAGAGGAAGGAGACTGCGACACTAAGCAAAGCTGAAGCAAAGGCCTCAAAATCCTCCTCCACAGCGACACACTTTCTGCAACAAACCATACCTACTCCAACAAAGCCACACTTCCTACCAGTGCCACTCCCTGTGAGATTAGAGGGGCCAACTACATTCAAACTACCACAATAATTTATTCTCGTATTCCTCAAGGCAGCTCAAGAAGAGAGAATGATAAGTCAACCGCTTCTGTGTAATGTTTGCAAACACAGTGGAGGTATGACCAAGGGGTGCTTGGGAGCAAGAAGTCAGCTCAACAATGAGAGGAGGGTTCTCAACAGGATGGCCTGATTGTTAGGGACTTGAGTTTTGGATAAATCAGAGTGATTTAGACCATAGCAGTGGATGGTATCCAAAGCATACTGTCTCCTGAGATCTTCTGGAGTCCTCTTCCACTGGAAACAAGAGATGAGGTTAGTAACCAACAGAAAATGGCAGAGATAATGGTGTGGAAATTCTGAAGCTGGATGATAGAGAGCAAAACATCAGCCATCTTGCTTTTCAGGGATCATAGCAGGTTACCACATCGAAAAGATAGTCTGGCAGCCCTGAGGTCTTCCAAGCGCAGACCTCACAAACAGCCACAAGAATAAATCAACTTAGAATTGGATTCTGTAGCCTCAGTGAAGGACCACAGGCCAGGCCTTTACTGTAAGGAATCTCAGGTATAGTAAATAAATGCAGGGTTTTGTTCCTGTTTGGTTTTCACCACTGAAATGTTCGAGGGTTGCGTGCTCCTCTGCAACTGTTAATTTAACACCCTATATCCTAAACATACGTGAATGTCTACCAGAACGAGCCTGAAAAGAGAGAAATGTCTGGGAAGATCCTAGAAAAGGCTCCGTGTGAGAACTGGCACAAGCTGGTTCTGAAGAGAACAGCCATGCCAGGCAATGCTTACCTCCCTATCCACAGAACAGACTGGATTCATGTATGAGGTGGCCTAGGTAAGAAGGTGAACATTTGGGAACAGTAGATTGTAGAGAAAGCGTGGGCAGGGGATGTACCCTCCGAGAGAAGAAGATAAAGAAGCACACAGAAGTCCAGGAAACAATGGGCAAGAACTAAGAAAACCAAGGAGAATATGCAAGCTCACATGCTAAATCAGGGGCTATGAAGATGGTTCAGTGGTTAAGCGCGTGTCATACAAACATAAGGACTTCAGCTCAGATCCGTGGTACCCACACAAAAAGCCAGGCATTGTGGTGTGCACCTGGATTCCTAGTGCTGGAGAGGCCAAGACTGGGGAATCCCTGAAGTTTCCTGGCCAGCTGGTCTTGCCAAATCTGCGAGCTTCAGATTCTGTGAGAGACTGTCATAAAACAAACAGAATGAAACATAACAGCCACCACAAAAATTCACAAAGCACAGAGTGATAGGGAAAGATAGTTGATACAGACCTCTGATCGCTAAGTGCTTGCTGCAAGTACATATACCCACATACAACCACACGCTCACACACATACACACACACACCCTCACAACATACACTCTCTCACCCCCCTCTCTCTCACACACACAGGACTATTAGTTTCTTTTCTTTTTTATGACAAAGTCTTACAATTTCTCCATTTGACCTCAAACTCTGGATCTTCCTTCTTCAGCCTCCCAAATGCTGGGATGAGAAAACCATATTAATACTCCAAATTAAAGCAAGCTATTCATAGAAAGGTATGACAATCTATCTTCAGATTTTTAAAAAATGTACATGACATGATTTACCAATTCAGAAATACATTTCACCCTGTAGGTTGTATACAAAGATAAAACTGCTTTAAAAAAAAAAAAAGAAGAAGGGGCTGGAGAGATGGCTCAGCGGTTAAGAGCATTGTCTGCTCTTCCAAAGGTCCTGAGTTCAATTCCCAGCAGCCACATGATGGCTCACAACCATCTGTAATAAGGTTTGGTGCCCTCTTCTGGCCTTCAAGCATACATACAGACAGAATATTATATACATAATAAATAAATAAATAAATATTTAAAAAAAATAAAAGATAATTAGACTAAATGGTCCTGTGTTGTTCTCAAATGAAGGAACACCTCCAGAGCTGAGGAGGGTCTTTGGTCTCCTGTCATTTCAGGAACGAGCAACACTGATGTGCCACTGATGACAACAAGCAGCCACATCGAGGAGGAGGAGGAAGACAAACAGGAAGAGGAGGGTGACAAAGGGAGAGGAGGAGCCCTCTACCCTGCCGTGCTGAGTATCAAACTCCAGGCTGGGATAGCCTCAGCCCCTTATTAAACTTTTATTTGGAAACACAGTCTCATTAAGTGACTCAGACTGATCTTGAGCTCACTCTGTGTAGCCCGGGCAGGCCCTTGAACTCATAACCCTCCTGCCTTATCATTTCAAGTGGCTGCGATGACGAGCCTGTGTCACCAGGAGGCCTGGCCAGCTGAGCACTTCCGTTGAAAGAGTTGCCTACATTCAACAAAGGGGGCTTTGAAACCCCCCACTCTGTCTCTAATTTATAAATTCATGTAATGGAAGTTCTATTTCAAACCATGGTATTTCTTTTGACTGTGCAGTCAGCCAGCCCTCTCCTTACATGCCTACTACGTGTCCTGGCCCTCATGCCAAGGCCTGGGTGGCTCTCCAGAATGCCAGGCTGATTGTTCCCATACCCACACAGTCACCTTAACAGTCTACTAGTCCAGGGTGCTCCCCACGTGTGCAACCCCTGCAACTCTTTCCCTTGGGCCAAAGACCTAGGTGTGGCCCTTCACTCTCATTCCCCACTCCCCTCACTCTTCACCTCCAATCCACCAATCATCTATCAGCTTTCCCTTTAAATAAAGAAGGTCCAGAGCCTGCCCAGGACTTACCACCTACCTTGGTAGGCCTCTAAATACCCACTGTTCCCTCAGTCAGCACCCTCAGGCTGACACCCTGGCACTCTCTGTGAGGCCTTCTGTAGACCCATCCTCCCCCGCCCCCCGCCCCCCGCGCCCGATAACCCAGATGGAAGCCTTGGGCATCTTTTACTTTCTCTTGTTTATTGTCCGTCTTCCTCTTCTCGGTTCCAGAGGTTAGAACTTCCTTTCTCAAATCTGTTCCCAGCCTCCAGCAGTAAGGCAGAGCTCGAAATACCACACTTGACAGAGTGAGGCTCAAGTTCCTGTTTTCAAGCGCTGCAGATCCCAAGGGGAAGACTGGTCTCTAACAATAGTAGTTAGAGTGCGCAGTGCTGTGTCAGCCACACAGCCAAGGTCTTAGAGAAAGCAGCAAGGAGGGAGGACGGGGGAAGCGACATGGAGCGGAGGTGAAGGACAAGTAAGGAACAGGAAGGGCAGACAAGGGACGGGCCGCGGTGTCCGTGGCGCAGTGGGGGGTGGTGTGGATAGATTGTGAAAGAGATTGTACAATGGTGTAACCAGTCTTAGCTACCCCTCCCCCAAGGACACGGCCGGGCCACTTACTAGGACCTGGAGGATACTACACCAGCCACCTACCACTTTCTATTTGAGGCGAGGGGGTCTTGACTAACTTACCTAGACTGGCCTTGAACTCCCTTGGTTCCCCACGCAAGTCTGGAGCTTTCTGTTTTACTGGGGCTGGGATTGCAGGCTTGCACTGCTTTCTAGGTAGCCTTAGCTTTAACTTGACAGAAACCTCTCATCATGCATACTGTGCCTGGGGGAATGGTAGAGGCACCCTCGTGCCACGATTTGCCCCACGATGGCCGTGGAGGGGAGGAGCCAGGGGAGGAGTCAGGGCATCCCATAATTCTGTGCGGAACAGCATGGCTCCTGGTGGATAGCAATGCATGGGTGTTTTAAGACACCCTGCTTTTGATTGTCCTCTTGGAAGGCTGTATGTGTGATCAGAATTTTGAAAGGTAGTGTGACCTTAAACATGGCCAAAGTCCAAGGAGGATCAATTTCTTTCACCAAATGGGAGCGTAGATCCCTGAGCTGTCTGAATGACAGGGGTAGACAGAAATGAACCTTGGGTGCTCTCTGAGGCTCACACACTCTTAAGACACAGTGCTTCCTGCTTTCAACGACCAGGGCAATTTGAGACAGGGTTTCTCTGTAGCTTTGGAGCCTATCCTGAAACTCGCTCTGAAGACCAGGCTGGTCTCGAACTCACAGAGATTTGCCTGTCTCTGCCTCCCTAGTGCTAGGATTAAAGGTGAACACCACCACCTGGCACAGACTGCATTCTTGAATGCCAGCTCCAGTAGGGTTGTGGGGATGTGGGGGCTTCTAAACGCTGGAGCACAAGGACGCGCCTGCAGACGCACAGCTGCAGAAACGCATTAGCTTTTCCAGTACTGGCTTAAAAGTCTTAAATTACCACACAAAAAATAGGTTAAGGGTAGGATGTTGTGAAACAACATAATGCCTGAGTGTGGGGGCGGGGTGGCACACCATCTCAGTGTTTTTCCTTATCTGCAAAAGGCCACTCAAATCGCTGGTCCCAGAGCACCCTGCAGCCACGGCGACACTCCCGGGTCTTTGAAATGTGCAACTTGTATAAATGTGCCTGGTTCCTGTTTTCAGTCAATTTTTAGCAAGTGTGCAAATAAGATGTGGTTAGGAAAACCCAGGTGAGCCCTGCATCATCAAATGCTGATCTCGAGAAGTCCACAGTCCTTGGTAGCGCAGAACCACCTTGCAAGGCTCAGGGCTACGTGACTGAGGACTCGCCACGCCCCTGGCCACCCTCGGTCGAGTCCCCAGCTGGGCTGGCTCAGCTGCTTAGGACCCGCTGCTCCGCTCCGCCCCGCCCCAGTCCCTGGCCCCCCTCCGCGCTAGACCTGCCAGGACGCCCGCCACGTGCAGAATCCTTTCTGCGTGCAGAACGTGCCAGCTCGTCCCTCTTCCTGAGCCTCTGTAATTCGTCCTCAGAATGTAATGATTTAGGCGAACCTCATTAGCCTGCAGTACTAAGATCCGAGGATATGGGTTTATGAATGTTGCAAACGCTAATGAGATCACATCTATTAAGTGATATGTGTGTATTGGGGTTAAAGCGCCGATGTAATTTTGTCCCTTTTTTTCTTTTTTTTTTTTTTTTTGTAACGTAATCTCAAGTCCAGTCAGTGTTTCACGCGATGTTTACTGAGCTGCAGTGACAGACAACAGGACAGCCCTACGGAGTTGGCAAATATCTTTGAACTATCACAAAGGCTGGAATCACTCATTATTCCTCTCTTGGAGGTGAGAAGATGGGCATCATTTCTGATAATATTAGGCATAATTTTTATTAATGAGATAGGAAAGAAATGTTTGAGAAGCTCTTAGGCGACTTTCAAGGAATGCTCCAGATCCAACCTTACACAAACGAAAAGGGCAAAGCGATGTTATCTTTTCCGTCAGAACAATAAACTGGGCTTTCTGTTTCCCTTCGGTCTTTTGCAAGCAGTGACACTTGAGAAGTTTCTCACCAGCAGGCTTCTGTCCTCTGCCTGAAAACTGTCTGACTGACGTGAACCTAAATGAGGCTGGGGCACAGGGGAGGGGTTAGGCATCCCTCACCACCACCACCACACACACACACACACACACACACACCAGCTATACTCCAAGACTGTGTTGTGAGCCAGTCAGCAGAAGCTGGGCTACTGATTTGATTCATCTTTCCCTGAGGGAGATAAAAATCTCAGGCAAGCTCTTCACCCCTGACCTACAGGCCCTGAGGCTCCAGGTTTGGGGAAATTCTTTTTGTTGTTGTTTTCTTGCAGTTAAATTGTTTGGTGTCTGTGACCTCTGAAAATGGCAAGAAAGCACCCATTTTTTGTGTGAGGTTTGGACAAAGTCTACAGAATGAACCCCGGAAGTGAAGGTCATCCTGCTGATCTGTCGCGATGGGAGTGGAGGAGGCTGTATGGAGAAAACCTCATACACGGAACCCCATCTTGCTGTCATTTTTACTTGCACTGTAGTCTTGGTTGGTCTGCCTGTTTCTTTCCGTTTTGTCGTCACACAACCCGTAATGCTGTTTTGGGCCGCCTGTAAGGCAGTGGTCCCGATGGATTGTATAGTGCTTATAGTCTAATGACATCTCAGCTGCTATGACATCATAGCATAATAAATCACAACGATGCCGATGTCAGTGAAATACTGTGTGGCATTCTTGTGAAAGTTTGCACATTACAGAAGGCTTGACGGTTGTAATGAACTGTTTTGCTGGTTCATGCGCTGTCTGCACTGCACCTCTTTGGTCTTATTTTACGGTGTATTTTACTTTCAGAATACAAAGGTTGGTATCAGGTGGCACACTGTGCTGTGGACTGGCCTCATGCATCTCTTGACTGCGACAAGGATTCGCCTAGGGTGACCTGTCCACGCCTTCCAGGTTGGTGTCCACATGCTGATGGCCTTGCCTAACAATGCTTTTCTCAGACCGTTCATTAAATGGCCCGGGACTGTACGGCAGGCTCTGGAAAACTCCCTCAAGCAAGGCAGCCAATAATTAGAGAGCGCTGGCCCCCATGCCTGAGCTCAAAGCAAGGTTGTAGATCTCTCTACTCAGCTCTCCTCTGATGTCTTGAAAGGAGGTGGTTTGGTGGGAACTGGCAAGCAGTGGATCGCGGTCTAAATCAAGCCGTGTGCCAACCATTTTCACAATACATAACAATACATAAGCTTTCTCTCCACACTCCAGAGTGACCTGCAAAGAGCTCTTGTTGCGCAAGGTGGTTTTATGCTGTGAAGTTACCGTGAATATGGAATCAGCAAATACCAAACACCAGGCTAGGAAAAAAATACAAACGTTAGTTCCTTGAGTCATAGTTTTGTCAGTTATTAATAAATGTCTTTATTGTGTGTGTGTGTGTGTGTGTGTGTGTGTTTTAA